CCATGAACAGAAAAGTTACTTACAGTGTGATTGTGATGTTAGTAAGTTTGAGGCCAAAAGTATGATGTGTTCTAGCTCAAACATTTTGTTTTAAAAAGGCTACCTTTGCCTCTGCACTTGGTAAAAATCTCTCCCACTGCACCAACCACCTCTCCGTGTACCAGAGAAATGCTTGCATTGCACAAGGAATTACTTGGCGAAGCCCTGCAAGGCACTGAAGGGAGGACTGGCATACTTGCAGTGTGTAGGACAGGGTCAGGCTGACATGTGTGAGTGGCGCCTGGGAGCTAGGTTGGTCCCAGCTACCCGAGGGGCTTGTGCATGCCCTTTTGTGCCTGGTAGCACAAAAGGAAAGAATCTGCATGCGCAGTATTTCTCGCCTGTGGGAAGACAAGTGGCACAGCATGTTTAAGTCTGTTTGTATAGATATACCAACTCTGAATTGCTGAAATAAGAGCCAAAGCCCGTGTAATTACTTTTCAGACCAAAAGGACAATTGAGGAGGATATGGTGTAAGTTAAATTAAAGGACTGGCTGTATCCACTGGGAACTGCTTCTGTTCTTAATATGACTTACTTGGTAATAAAATGTAAATTGGAGAAGTAGGCGGGCAAACAGTAAGAAGGTTTCAGTTTTAGTGTCATCACTTTATTTTATGCCTGTAGGGAAGGAGACAAGTTTCATGTATGAGTTGAGGTGTCTGATGAATTCGAGTGACTTTGAGATGAATTCGAGTGGCTGGATTGATGGGCTGAGGCAAATCGTATGAGGTTCAACAAGGCCAAGTGCCAGGTCCTGCACTTGGATCACAACAAGCCCGTGCAATGCTACAACCTTGGGGAAGAGTGGCTGGAAAGCTGCCCAGTGGAAAAGGACCTGGGGGTGCTGGTCGGCAGCCGGCTGAACATGAGCCAGCAGTGTGCCCAGGTGGCCAAGAAGGCCAATAGCCTCCTGGCTTGTATCAGAAATAGCGTGGCCAGCAGGAGTAGGGAAGTGATTGTCCCCCTGTACTCGGCACTGGTGAGGCCGCACCTCGAATCCTGTGTTCAGTTTTGGGCCCCTCACTACAAGAAAGACATTGAGGTGCTGGAGTGTGTCCAAAGGAGAGCAACGAAGCTGGTGAAGGGTCTAGAGAACAAGTCTTATGAGGAGCGGCTGAGGGAACTGGGGTTGTTTAGCCTGGAGAAAAGGAGGCTGAGGGGAGACCTCATCGCTCTCTACAACTACCTGAAAGGAGGTTGTAGCGAGGTGGGTGTCGGTCTCTTCTCCCAAGTAACAAGCGATAGGACGAGAGGAAATGGCCTCAAGTTGCACCAGGGGATGTTCAGGTTGGATATTAGGGAAAATGTCTTCCCTGAAAGGGTTGTCAAGCCTTGGAGAAGGCTGCCCAGGGAAGTGGTTGAGTCACCATCCCTGGAGGTATTTAAAAGACGTGTAGATGTGGTGCTTAGGGACATGGTTTAGTGGCGGACTTGGCAGTGTTAGGTTTACTGTTGGACTCGATCTTAAATGTCTTTTCCAACCTGAATGATTCTGTGATCCCATGATTCTATGACATGTAAGCAGGCTTGGTGCGCAAGGCAGCTGCTCACCAGTACACTGTACTGTTCACCTGAGCTGCCACGCAGAGACCAAGGCCAGGCAGGTAGTTCTTCACCCACTCTGTTTCAGATTGTATGCACCTTCTAAGCCTTGGTCTCCCATCTCTCTCTCTGCATGTGCATGTATGTAATGCAATACCTCTGTATCTCACTGTGCTTTGCCACATGCTGGGCAGTGCCCTGGGCCTCCGAATCTTCAGATGGTGTTGATAAAGTGAACTAGAAAGTAATTTGTAGTTAGAGTGTAATGTAACAACGTGTCCTAGTTACGAAGGCTACGTAAGGTCAGAACCACAGGAACGGCTGAAGAATAAATCCTGGTTCAGGTTTCCAGTTCCTGCTTTGCTCTGCTTCATTCAGAAGACAGTTGCTTCATCCCGTTGCCCGCAAAAGCTTCGTCTTCCCTGTGTCTCGCTAGGGATATGGGCTGAAATTCTGTTTGTTTCTGTGCAGGGTGTGATTGTGGGTCTGAAACCTGGTCGTATCTGAAAAACAATCCGAAAAGAGGATTTAAGGATTCCTTACCTGCTTTGAGTTATACAGGGCTGAGACAACCTAGCCCTTTAAATTCTGATATGGTAATTCATATGAAATACTTCCTTACCAAGGGACCACTCAAGTGTCTTACTCGATAATGAAACCTAGAACCTGTGCCTGCTAAATTCAGTAGCAGATTTTTCTTGTCCTGAGGAAGTCTGTTTGGGCTTTTTCTGCTTTGATGTATTTTGATTAAGGCACAGCAGAGCTTATTTCCAGTATTTTTCTCTGTGACATTCCCAGATAAGAAGGCATTTCTGCAGTGTCTAGATTACACACAATTTTAAAGTAACACCTACTGGGAAAAAATGGTTTCAAACCAACATGATATAAGGCCATATTAATTGTTTTAAGATGACTGCTATGTTGCTGTTAGCGAGAGGAGCAATAAAGAATGACTTCTAAGTATTCCAAATTAATAATAAAAGATAAATTAATTTTTTTGTCTCCATATTTTTAGTTAGTTTTTTTTTTTAAAGGGACTCTGCTGTTCTTGAGATGATGTAACTTTACAATGTGAATTACTTCATTAAAAGTCTGAAATAAGCTGCTTGTGTGTCCTAAATCCAGGCACATTTTTCTTCAAAGACTAAAAATTGCTAAAAGGTGATAGAATCAGTCACCTCAAACACTTGGATCCTGCCCTGGAAGTATTTTATGTCTAATTCTGTCTTATTTGTTGTCTTGAAACAATGCTTTAAGGGAAAGAAAACATGTAATTGCTCTGTAATTTCTGCACTAAAATGTTTTCTTTTGAAGTAGCTCCGCTTAGCTAGTAAAAATACTTCTGGGTCTTAGTCAAGCATTTAGTACAATTTAAAACTGCAATGCTAAATTTCATTGGTTGGACTTTTTATTAGATAAGGTAGAAATGAAAGCAGCAGGCAATTTAATTAGCAGTAATTTTTCTGGGCAAGTCATTACTTTGATGAACTTCAGAGCAATGTTTATGGCTCCTAATTAACCATGTTAGTCATTTGATTGAATAATCACTTTGGAAATGTTTCTACAATTTGATTAGAGTCTGACCCACTCTGATAGTCATAAATTAACTGATAGCACTTTAGGATAACAAGACTCTAGTTACTTTACGAGAAACAAACTCTTCCTTGCTGTATTTTTCGGTCCTCTGTGGACTGTTGAAGCCCAAGCTAACCAGAAGATTAAGTAATGTTGGTAGAAACAATGCTTGCCTTAAAAAGACTCCAGATGTTAATTATAATTGACTTAGGAGCATGGGAGATGAAACCCCAAATTGGCTAAGAACACAACTTCTTGGATGCGTGCATAATTCTTTATTCTGTGTACTCTGCTGTATCACTTTGCAAGAGTGGAGTTCATGAGTCAAAAAGGGTTTTGCTGCCAATACTAGGGAATTTTTACCTAAAATAGAAAATAGCATCTGTTTCAGTTCTCCAGCTTCCTCTTTTTTTACGTAGATTTTTCCATTCTCCTTAAAATTCAATCTACTTGGTAACATGAGTGATTCCTTGCAGGTGAACCACTACTTGTAGCCTTGACTTCTAGTCTACAGAGCTATACTTGACTCGGGTGATCACTGAATCACTGATTCCTGTGGTTGCGCTGCCTGAGACGTTAGAGATTCTCGAGGCCTGAGCAGGCAGGCACTGAGCGTTTCATCAAGAGAGGAGGTAGTGAAGAGTTCGGCACAGATGTGCAAGAGAGACTGTGGGCTGTTAGGGGAAACTTACTATTACTGCCCTGTGTTTCACTTGTTTTGTGAAGTCAGTGTAAAACCTCATTTTCTTATCCTGCTAAATCTTTGATACTCATCACTAGTCAGTGAACAGTGAAATTTGGAATCACAGTCTGAAAGAGTCTGTAGGCAGTGTTGGAAAAATAATGTCTGCTCTTTCGACCTCTGTTTGCATCTCTCAAAGAGTTACAAGTTACCGGTAACAGATTGCATAGCTTAGGGTAGGAGTTTATCACAAGATCAAATAGACTTTGTTAAGCAAGACTTTTGATATCCAAGAAGTGGGTTAAACATGGTCTAGAAGGGCAAACATTTATGGTATATTTCTGTTCGCAAGTCGCTGTGAACAGGATGTGGCTACTTGGGGACAGTGCAAGACACGGGCAAAAAATAGAAAGACATTTAAAGAACACCATTTTCATTAGTTCTGTTTGATTTTTCTCATTCTTGCAGATTTGGTAGAGGTGGGGAATGGCAAATAAATGTCTGTATTACTTAGAATGTGTGCACTAATTTATTTTTTTTTCTTTTGGGGGGGCTCTTTTTTGGCTAGGGGTGTACAGGTGGAGGGTGAAATTGATGCATCTGAATTCCTAGATTAAATGCTTAGCAATCGCAGAAAATTTCATTAACCCTTCAAATCCTTAACCAGTCTAAAAAGCAATATCCTACTCTAAATTCACTCTGACATTCCTTGTATTAATGTAGAGTTTATAAGTCTCCAGTGTGATTGGCAGGCTTTTCTGTGTAATTGATTAAAAATGTTTCGTCGAATTAGTTACAAAGATAGATATACAAGCACAGGGTTTAAAATATTTGTCCTGTTCTGCGTGGATTTTTTTGTCTGTGAATGGTCTGAAGTGTAATTGTCATGGGAGTCAGCTTTTAGCAAAGTTGATTACAATAAGGGTTTGAGTTCAAGTGCCTATATTAGATGGGATCTATGATCCTCACAGTATGATTTTCTCCTCCGCCATGCCTTGTGCGTGCTGCTCTGAAATGCTAACTCTGTGTTGACAGGTTCCCCCTTGCTGTAACTTGCATCCTTTTTGTTGCTCTTCTGCCTGCAGCCTGTCTCATTGATAACCTGCACACTTTTAATTCCAGACAGTCTTTTGACTAGCATTGTCATCTTCTCCTTTCAGAAGTGCCTAGCTGCCATTCCATTTACATGAGGCAAGAAGGCTTCCTGGCTCACCCAAACAGAACAGAAGTTAAGTTTTCTATTATGTATTGCTTTTGTATGAGAGAAACATAAAAAATTAAAAAGCCTGGAGGGATTTGGGGTTCACTGGTTTAATTCTGCTGCTGGGAAGACTCGCATCATCTATCTTTCCCTTCCCAGTCTTGAGTTTCTGAGGCACTGATTTTTTTGTAGCTTCTTCTAGTGCCACAGGTTTATCAGGATAGAAGCAATTTCATTATGAATCTACTCATTCTGTTTTTCAAGGCCTCCAGCAGTTGAAAGGAAGAGACGCTTAAAAATTTGTCCATTTCACCCATTCTGCTCAAGTGGTATTTTCCAAGCTATTGGAGTGACAGGCTCAGTTAACTGTTAAGTAATCCACTTCATACTTTAAAAAGTTTTCAGTGAAAGTTTTTGGCTTTTCCTTTTGTTATGATTTTTGCAATGTTTTGGTGCTCCTTAGGCCCAAATTGTACAGCCATATGATATATACCAAAACTCTCGGTGACTTCAGTAGGGCAGAGCTTAGTTTATTGTCAGAATTAATAATTCTGAGTAAAAGCACTTTATATGTATTAAAAATAAGAAGGCCAACAGAACTAAGAAAAAATGACCACTGAAAGAGAGGGTGTACCCTCCACTCTCCTGCTTTGGTGTATCTTTCTTGTCAATGTATGATTTTTTGTTTGTTTGTTTAGGGTTTATTTGTTTTTCTTCCAAGGGGCAAATTTCACAAACATGAGGGAAATTGTTCTTGAGATTGATGAGAATTCAGACACATGTATGAATCAAAGTCCTCTAGTAAGACTTCATTCACTAGTGAAAAGACACAACTGGAAAGATAACAACCCTGGCTAAAAGCCCAACTGCTTCTGGGGTGGAATAAAGGCAGAAAATAGAAATAAAAGGTAGTATTCAACAAGAAGGGTGAAACAGGAGATGGAAATTTATAGCAGTCTTGGTATATGAAATTATAGGAAGTACAGAAGCTTGATAAGGGAGGTGAAAGACATCAGGGAAAAATCCACGAACTGCAGGGCTAAGGTCAACAGATTTGAGTTTTAATCACAGCCTAAATAGGGGAAAAACAATCTTAGTTGTGTTATGCACTCGTAAGTACTTGGAGGTGGTAAAATTGTTATGAATGATGTAGAAAAGCAGTGTTGTTCAGTAAATATTTGTTTTCTGTATTTGGAAATCAGTCAACATGATTTTATGGAATAAAGGTCATGTCAAATCTGATTCTATTCTTTGTTGAGATTAAAGGTTTGATTGATAAAGATACTTGTGTCGTATAGTTAAACTTCTTATGGCATTCAGTTTGCAACTGCATTACATTCTGATTAAGAAGTTAGCACAAAGCAGTATCAATAAAGTACACATTAAATACATTAAGATCTGGCCAACTGACAGGTCTAAAAGTGGCTGTTACTGGGCAATCATCTCTGAATGGATTGTTTCTATTACAGTTCTGCAGGAATTGATATCAGGAGTGTTGCTATTCAACATTTGCAGTAAAGATATGGAACAAAGCTAATAGATAACAAAGATAGGGTGGTAAATAACGGGCAGGACAGGGCAGTCACACAAAGCAATTTGAATTGTTTGGTAATCTGGGCACATTAAACAATTTTTTTTTTAATATGCTGAATGTAGACCAGGCCTATGGAACCGGGAAACAGTGTATTGGAAAAAATTATTTTGAGATGGGCCTCCTCCTCCTCTGCTTCACAGTGGGAAACAAGCCCAACCAAACATTGCAACCGTATGGCAAAAGGCCTTCTGTAATATTTGCACAGTCAAAAGGAGGGTCATAGGGAGGCTGGAGAGGAGGAGATGTTTTGTCTTGCTAAGTAGTACTGGTGAAGCTGATACTGGCATGCAATACATTTATGGTTAAGCAAAACAGTAAAATAATACTGAAAAATAGGAGTATGTACAGAAGAGAGTGCTAGAAAGAATGAAGCGTTGCAGAGGGTGTCTTTTAACGACAAAAATTAAATTTAGGAGAATGATCTTAATTGGAAGAAACATCAAGGGTGACTTCTGTGAATATGGGAAGGAAATACCGAGTAGGGCTTTTTTAGTCTCGCAGGGAGAAGACCCGCAGGAACTAATGGTTAAAAGTCAAAGCCATGCTAGTTCAAACAGGAAATGAGACAAACATTTTGGAATAAATCATAGAGAAAAATGGGTGCTTTTTCATTTTTGCAGGTGGAGATTAACAGTCTTTTGGGAATGCACACATTAATTAAACACCCCTGTACTGAGGCCAAAACGTTGCGATTGGGTGGTGTGTAAAGGATGTGGGATATTAATCTGATTCCTCTATGACTTAGTGTTCCCTCTGGCATTAAGCCTATGATCTCTTCTTTCTCCATGCATCTTTTATATAAACACCTCTCTCTTTTTAACTTACAGGCTGTATGTATGAAAAGGGACCTAGGCAGTTTTATGATGACACTTGTGTTGTTCCAGAGAAGTTTGACGGTATGTATAACACATCTCTCTTTCTTTTTCTTGTGTGGGGAGATGAAAAAGGAAGAGATGAGGGACTTTTCTCTGTTACTGATCAAAAAAGCTCAGTAACATTCCAATTTAGGATTCCTTAACACACCATTTGCGGTGCGCCCAACCAAAGCTGACCTTTGTCTCTTGAAACCAAAGTCTCCTTTTCAATAGGATGTCGTTCAACTTTTGCCAGTGAAAGATGCTGTATCCAGAGTTGTGGCAGAGGAGCTCAGTTCTGTACTGTTGAGAAGTAATAGGAGGATTTCCATTGCATTGATGATCACATATCGCTTGTTGTTTGAGATTTAATGAAAGCTGTTCTTATAATTAACAAAACGGTGGAGAAAGCAGCAGCTTTGGTTTTGCTGAGGATTAAGCCTCTTGTCTTGCTGCCTGTGAAGTGATGAATAGTGGGGAGTGAGTGTACAGGGCATTTTTGTTTTTGCGTCAGTGTATTTGCTTGACGTTGAACGTTGTACTAGTTTATTTTTCAGTGAGATTGATAAAAAATCAGTGATCTTTTCACAACACTACCCATTACAACAGATTTTTTTTCAAGAGAGATTCTGAGGTCAATTAAAATAAATGGCCAAAATTATCCTCAGTTACTCTGATGTAAAATCAGTTTCCTGGTGTAATTCAGTTGATTTCAGATTTATTTCATTATAGACAAAGTAGATGGACTCAGTATTTCTTGCTGGTGACTCTGTTAGTCTGCAACTTTGGGAAGTAATTTGGAGATCAGTTACTTAAATTTGCTAGAGTGGCTTCTTTGTGTTATTTTATGTATGTCCAGCTTTATTTATTTTAACAGGAAAGATTAGATACTTTCTGATAAACTTGTGAACAGCTCTCTGACCATAGCTAGAAGTAGAGCTGTTGAACTCTTGGGGTTTTTCTCCTGCTTTATTTTGTTTGTTCTCCCCTGAGAATCACTTACATGGATTACAAAACTATTGCATGTCTAGCAGCATTTGTTGTGTTTGCTGAAGAATGAGAGACTCTAAAATGAAAGTAACCCAAAGAATTATACATTCCTCAAACAGAGGTATCACATGCATTCCAGGGTTGGTAAGGAATAGCAAGAAATAAATAGAAGATTTTAAAGAATATTAGACTTAACTGAAGATTGCTCAATCCAGTATTGCATTGTCACTGGATTGACACATTCACTGAAAGGGTGATTTATTGAAAGTCTGCTTTATAGCCTGTTGGCGTGTAGGCTTCCCCCCCACTCCCCCCACCCCCCGCTTTTTGAAGCACATCATGTCAGGTTTTTTTCTTCCCCAAAAATGATTGTGGACCTGATCTGTTTTCAGTATCAGTGGCAAATTCATATTTACATTTATGGGAATGGGGTCAGACCCTGTACTACAAGAAGTTAAAACTCTTCAGGAGTAGCGTTTGTCTGTGTCTTTCTTGAAAATCCTTTTTGTTTGCTTGGGTTTTGTACAGGGAAAGGAATGAAAATGGAAAAGAAATACGAAAAAAGTAAAAGAAGTAAATGTTTGGAAATATTTGCGTCCCCCCCCCCCCCCCCCCCCCCCCCCCCCCCCTGGACCTGATCTGTTTTCAGCCTCAGTGGCAAATTCATATTTACATTTATGGGAATGGGGTCAGACCCTGTACTACAAGAAGTTAAAACTCTTCAGGAGTAGCGTTTGTCTGTGTCTTTCTTGAAAATCCTTTTTGTTTGCTTGGGTTTTGTACAGGGAAAGGAATGAAAATGGAAAAGAAATACGAAAAAAGTAAAAGAAGTAAATGTTTGGAAATATTTGCGTGCTTGCAAAGCAAGCAGTCTGCTGCTAGCTTCTATGACTGTCCATTGAGAGAACACCTTGTACTCTAGAAGATTGATGTTGTGATACAAATAGGTGTGTTTATACTTGTAGCATAATGACTTTTGGTAAAAAATAGCAGATGTGTCGTCATGTTTTGGCCAGTAAAGCAAAAGTGGGATAAGCCCAGGACTAGTCTTGATGTTTCAGTAGTAGTTTCTCAGCTGCTTCATTTGAAATCAAAGATCGGCACAGGCGAAGAATCTGATCCTCTGTAATATTGCACTTGCTATTTGCGCGTTGCTCAGCTATCATTAAAAGAAAAAGCCTGTCTTTGAAAAAGAAGGCCTTTCAGGACTGGAACTTGAACCTCACATAAACCAAAAAGCCTTGTGTTGATTTATTTGTTTTCCACAGCTATTGACTCAATTTTCTTCCCTGATTACAAAAGGAAGTGCTCCATTTTTAATATTATTATTCTTACTTTCGCTACATGGAGCCATTCTGTAATGGCCATCAGAGCATCCTAATGTTGTGGTTAAATGTGAAGTCCTGGCTTTCCCTATTAAACAGGTCACACTGCTTATTGGAGGGTATTGCTGTTCTGGTAGTTGAAATGAGGAGTTTTACCAGCATATCAAGGATTGCTGTCATCATGTGCAGAAAAAAATATTCTCTGCTTCAGCATCAGACCTTTCAGCTGTTGTTTGCATGAGTTGTTTAGTATGAATATGACTTAAAAACAACAGACACAGTATGGATGTCGCAGGATGGTTTTTCATTGGCAGTTTGTGGAACAGCTAGCAGAATATTATTATTGTTGTTTTTTAAAAGCTTCTTCTGGACTTGAACTTTTAGAAAAATTAACTTACTGCTTTTCAGGGGGAATACTAATCTAATATGTAGATATGAGTAAAAATAATATGTGCTTATACGCAAGTCCAATATGCCACAGAGGAACTCGCATATCTGCAGGATTTGCATACCTATACATAAAGCACATGCTGTTTAAGTCCAAGTCAAATACTTTGTCAAATTTTCCATAGAAGCATTTGCATGCAAAAGAAGTTTCACTCAATAGGGTTTTGCAGCTTTATGAAGCATACATTACATTTCCAAAACTAGGGCTTGTGCAAAGTATAGTACACAAATGCAGTTCTTCAGACATCAGAGTTGCTTACAAAAATAGTTCATGCTCTTTCAGATAGAGGATGTTGCAAAATGGTTTGCAAGCGAGATTTGCATGTATCGGAAGTAAATGGGGATAGGCTTAGGGAGACTTCCATAAGTCATGACTGAATTTAGGTAATTTGTAGTATATGAATATGTTGTTGTAAGAATGTTTACAATTAGCAACCGACAGGGGAATGTTGCATTTGTGGGTGGCTGCGTAGTAAGAATTCTTTCCCTCTGTTTTATTAACCCTAATGATTGCTTTGCTGGTTTATCTGACAAACCAAGTGATGATGCTTTTTGCGCATTGCTCATCTAATGTTGTTTCTATTCTGTGCAGGTGATGTCAAACAGGAGCCAGGCATGTACCGCGAGGGACCCACGTATCAACGGCGAGGCTCACTTCAGCTGTGGCAGTTCTTGGTAGCTCTTCTTGATGACCCGTCAAACTCTCACTTCATAGCGTGGACTGGCCGAGGCATGGAATTCAAGCTGATTGAGCCAGAGGAGGTGGGTTAGACGGACAGCATGCCCTGACATCCGCTGCCCCATCCTGCAAATTTAACAGTGCTCCTTTGGATTTAGGTCTTGTTTTCCTTCAATATTTTGCTCCAGTAGCACTTTAGAAGGGTGACAGGAAGGACTGGCAAGGGAAGTGCTTCATTTAGGACAGAGGTGTGGTTAAACGTATACTTGATTCCTAGTCCCACAAAGTAACAAAAATATTGCAAGTACTAGAGTTGCAAAACACTCGGCATTAACTGTGGGGCCCAGATTTTTCAGAACCACTTCATGGATAGAGCTGTGTTCCAAAATCCTTTGAAAACTTGTCCCTGAATAGTCTTTCAACACCAAATACTCAGTGTGAAGATGTGGGAACTTGGAACTTCTAGGCTGTAGAGTGAAAGACCCCATGTGTAACAGATGGCAAAAGAGGAGGTTAAGAACGTTAGGCAGTAAAATCCCATCAAAATTATATAAACCCCCCTCTTTTTAGAGTTGTCTTCAGAGTCTTCCTGCTTATATGTATCATTAGATTGTTTAGTGCACGCTTAGGTCCTAGCCTTGCAAACATTCATGCACATGCACAGCTCCCCTGAACCATGAAGGACTTGTGGGGTAGATAAAATTACTTGCATTCATGAACATTTGCTGAAGCATGACTTAGTTCACTTGTGTGATAAACAGGAATAAATTGAACATTTTATTACATAAACTTTTTTAGACTAGGTAACATTAAATAATCTATCCTGTGTTCTAAACAGCCATGGAAACTGCTAGAAAAATCTGTTGTGCCTGAATTTTATTGTAATACTGATGTGGATGATTTGATTAGGGTTGTCAAAAAGCAGCATCATCCTGGTTTACTTTTTTGCCCCTTGGACAGGGTTGGGTAATAGAGGAGACCGCAGCAAATTTTCCATCAGGATCCCCTCTGAGTTAGAGCTGAGTAGGAAGGTTCGGGGGTGTAAGGCTGCTTCTGCGTTCCACCAGCTATTTCTGCTGTTTGCCATCCATCTGCTGGCATAAGCAATCTGAAGGCTTTCTTGCATTTAAGTTACATCGTCTGCCAACAGCCCTAAGGGGATGATAGAGTAGCTGGGGATGGAGACAGGACTGATGTCCCTTTCCTTCCCGACATGGTCTGCCTGAGGGGCAGGTTGCTGCAGGGACCTGTGTGCTGGCTCGGGTTTGTCTGAGCTTCCCTCACACTAGTGATAGTCACCATGGCAGATCTTGGTGTTGCGCATCTGAGGATTTGACCGCAGAACAGTCTCAGTCGATTTGATACCGAGACTTTGCTGGCAAGTCTGCGGCCTTAGCAGGCTACATGGACTTCTTAGTTGTGTGGCCTGGATCAGAACAGAGTGAAATCTTTGGAAAGGCTTTTGCTTGATTTTGGTGAGTGAGATACCTGATTTTTTTCCCCCTGCCCCAGTGTCAGTATTTTTTACCCTTTTAGTTTTGTCTTGTCTTTAAGGTATGTCCAAAGTTTTTCAAGATTGAAGAGATTTATTGAAAAATAGTTTCCAGCAGATGGTGCAAAAACTTTATAGATTTTATTAGCTAAGGAAGGGAAAGTAGCAAAACAAAACCCTAAGGTTTCCTTATTGTGTAATTCCCTGAAGAATTGGATATTCTGATTTAAGTTAACCAGATCACCTGCTTGTCTGACTTTGTAGCAGTTGCTTTGTGTTTTTGAGCAGCATTGCATCCAAGATCTGGAGGAGGCAGGCTACTTGAAACTTGCTCACTCCTGTGTGCTCTTAGGGAGTACAAAGGAGCCTAAGTTGTTTTCATATGAATGTCACGGATCTGACAGAAACTGTCGATTAAAATAAGAATAGCCTGTGGGAAGTTGCACACTTCTGGTGCTTGCCAAGTGTAAATTGAAGGGAAGTCAAAGAGCTTGTTGGTTCAGCTGCGGCAGGTTAGGATGTCAATGACATGACCTTTCCATTCCATCCCTTTCTGGAGGTTTATGCCCTTGTAGAATGGGTGACAACGAAACTGAATATGTATCAGCTCCTTGAGCACCATAGTTCATTCAGAAAGTAGATAACTGTGAACTGTGGAGGCTAAGAATTGAGCGTAGGTCCATTTATGCTGCCTTGTCACAGGGACAGTAACCTTCAGCAGGAAGGTGGGGTGGAAGGCTAGAAGCCTGAATCCCTTCCACAGAGCAAGACTTGATAAATGCTGTGCAGGTCAGGGACAGGAAGACTCGCTTACCAAGGCTACTTTTGGACCTGCTTGCTTATTTAGGAATGTCAAAATACCACACAATATAGCATATTCTCAACCATTATTTTGTTGTAGTTATCTTTGCTGTGTATTTATTTACTTATTATGCAAGCCTGTTATGTTGGGGACTTTTAGGACTCTGATTAATGCAGAAAAAAACTTGGCAGAAATAAACAGAGTGATATAGGCATGTGTTACAAAGCTGAATAGGCGAATCAAGGTTACTCATCTAGGCCAAATCTACAGCTGGAATAAACTGACAGGATTGGAGGTATGTTTCAATACAGCTATAACATAGCTGAAGTTAGCAGAGCCATGATAATTTACATAAGCCTGAAAAACTGCACCATTGAAAGGAAATAATGTTTTAAAAAGAAATTTTAAAAATTATTGTCCAGATGGAGATCTAAGTCATGGATTTTGCTGCTGTTATTTAGTCACCTTCAATTCTCAGTGCTGCATGTCATCTGTGGTTTGCATCAAAAGGCTCCAGACACCTATGGGAAAGTTTCATAGAGCAATCTGCAGAGAAGCTGCTTGGCCACTCTCTCCTTTTTCCAGAGCTATATGCATATGCACCTCTGAAACATTGTTATAAAATGTGCTTTAAAGAGTTCATCAGCTCTGACTTTTTTTCCCTCTGGTGACATGATAGTCATTTGTACAGCCAGTAATTGAAATGTCACCAACAGCTGATTATAATTTCAGGTGGGGAATAAGCAGTTAAGCTCTTCAAACAAAAGGTCTCTTTGTCCAGAACTACCTTTGGCAATAAAACAGGGAGCGTAAAGGCAAGTAGAAATCATAAGTCAGAGCAAAAGGCATATTGTTCTCTATGGAATGGCCTCCCGAGTTGCTTGCAACTCCCTTTTTATTATTATTTTTTTAAGGGAAATTATACAACTGCAACTATGAAATTTCTGTCCCATTCTTTATACTACCATACAGTTCTTCCAAGCGATTACCCTGCCTTCTCTGATAATTCATTTTCTTTGCTGAAGTAATATTTAAGACTGGGAGTTGGCTTTTGACTTGTATCTCCTAATAATCTCAACATCACTGTCATTCCAAGTACAGTCTGTATTAGGTCATGAACTAAGTGTGTATGTCTGTGTGTTTAATATAACTTAGTGTCCTGACAGCAAGGAAAACACAGGAATAGTACAATTATCCACAGTATCAATCTAAAGAAAAGTTTTCATCTTTCATGAAAGTTTTCTGGCGGAACTTGATAAATATTTTTTTGTGTATCATCTCTTTATACGGCTTTATTTTTTCATTGGTTTTCTTTATTAAAAACAAACAAAAAACCCCCAACCCTCCACCACATTTGCAAATGAGTAAGTCTGCTTCAAGTTCAATGGATGTCTGTGTGTCCAATTAAAAATCATAGTAGTACATGGGAAATTCAGGTCATCGCAACCTTTTCACTTGTGTTTATTTGTTGCACCTGCAAGGCTCCCCCTCCTCCATCCCCAAATAAAGTATCTGATGGTAAGACCTGCTTGTTAAATGCATTTAACAAATCAATGCTAATCCATTTTTGTGGCAGGTGGCACGTCGCTGGGGGATTCAGAAAAATAGGCCAGCTATGAACTATGATAAACTTAGCCGATCACTTCGCTATTATTATGAAAAGGGAATCATGCAAAAGGTGAGTAGCTAATTTTGTATTAAATTTCACCAGAGTGTTGCATGTTAATCCATAAGTCAGTTTACGAGGAGTACTTGTAACTGCATTGCTTAGGTAGGTTTTTCGTCTATTTAGGCAAACACTAAGCTTTTTCATCTACCAGGTCCAGTATATGCATCAAGATTTTTTTTTCTATGTAAAAAATGTCTGTGGTTTTAGTTCACACAATGCACATCATGATTATAGAGAAAGAGGTAACATTCGAAAATATCCAAAAGAGCTTCCTGGCACCTGGGAAAGGCAAACAGTAGAGTACGCTATGAATAATGTTTTGCAGATCTAAATTAGCTGCCCAGCACTTGGGTACTTTGGTAAGTGCAAGATAGGGGAGAAAAATGATACCTATTAACATACCAAATACTTTAATATTTTACCAATAGTGTTGTAATAATACCATTTTTAAGTGGAATTTAATATTTTATAATAGGCTGAATTATGAGAAATATTTAACAATAATTTATATATAACAGTCTGGTCTTGCTGACAGTATTCAACCCGTCCTTCTACTGTGGCTTGCTGATTTACATGTATGTTTTTAAATCTTGCTATGTAGTACTACGTAGATTGACTGAGAAATCAATAGGAGAGACCTATCTGCTGCATCTACAAAACTGGCAGGTGTGACCAAAGATCATAATGAACACCTTGTGCTGTAAAACTTGTTCCATATCTTTTCACATTAGTTTTGTGACCTGTGATGACTAACATGTTTAAACCTGCCATTTGCCAATTCCATGAATGGAAACAATGTTCTCGGCTCAAGTTACTGGGCAACTTTTCCAGTAGGTTTTGTGAAGTCTCAGTTTGGAGTTGCCTGTTACAGGTTCTCTTGCTTTGATTATGGGACTGTTGTAGCGCTCTCCTTTTTCGCTATCCAGGAATCAATTTGGACAACGATCTTGGACTAGTATTGGCTTGTGGTACTTGAGCAGCACAGTGCCTCATCCATTTTTTTGTGTCACATAACTGTGCATTGAGTCTTTGTAAAGTGGACTGGAGACTGGGTCCAGTCGGGGAGAAGCAGAAACGCTTGATTTTGCTGGGTGGTGCTTCAGGCAGAGGAGGTCCTCGTTGCAGGTTACAGCTCAGCTCCATAGGCAATTGTGCCGGCACAGTTCAAAGGCAGCACAGAGGCAAGAATAAGTAGCAAAGAGAGTGAAACAAGTTGAAAAGGTGGGGACGGGAATGCTGTAAGGCTGATAATGCTGCCCAACCCACACATCCATTTAATATGGCAAGTTTACAAGTACTTCTGACAGGTAGCTTGCTACCTCTTAAACTACTACTTTATTATCTACAAGAATGTATTTAACACACATTTTAAAAGCTTGTTTGGATGCTTATTTTTCTGACAGCAATGTCTGAGGTTTGCCCTGGGATCACCCTATCTGGCCAGTTAGTGTATGTTAAAAACTAATGGTGGTTGTAGATTCATAGCAGGTTTCTTTACTGCAACATTTGTATGCACATTTTTTCCCCTTTTGTTTTAAGTTAAGCAATGATAACAGGTTATGCAAATGCCAGATTTCTGAATGCAGCCTTCAGTCTGTCAAACTTGCTGACATTAATTTGATGAAAAAAATTCTACTGCAGATACAGTCTCTACCAAAACTTTACATTATTTTTAGAATAAATAAGCTGAAAATTTAAGGAGGTGCTTCAGACTATTTTGCACCCATAAGAATAGAGTTAAGTTTGCAACACTTTTGCCACCTTCATTCACTCACTTCCAATGCTGTGCTGGAGTTGCAAGAAGCAGACAATATGATCTTTATTTTAAAATAATTTTAGTAAACCGTGAGCATGCAACATGGTTCATATTTTTTAACATAATTCTTTAAATAAGGTGCTTGAGAAGACACTATATTGACTTTTTTTTAAAAATAAGACAATAATTCTGTATTGTTTTTATCATTCTTCAGCTTCTAGGAAGATGAAGCACAGATATGTAGTGCTATTTCTGAGTAAGGGAAAACTTTAGGATCTTTGGACAAATTGTCCCTCCATAAGCAAATCCAAATGTCCCAGCTTTGCATGAGCAATTGCTAAGTACATATTAGCCTACGTATTTGCTTATGCTGTCCCTGTACAATCAGCATGCACTGTAACTAAGTGCTTTTATACTCAAGTATGAATCAATCTGCGTAAAGTGAAATTCAGATCTCTGTCATGCAACGTGATTTTTTTTTTCCACTTCACACACAGAGTGTTGGACTTAGTAATTTTATTTTGCCACTGTAGTGACAATTTGTTTACATTTTCCAATAAGAACAGTTCCATTTGTGGTTAAGTATAGGAAAAGATCACAAACAAAAGTTTGGAAGTAGAATACCTAGTCCATCTTCCAACAGGATATCACGTGTGGCAAAACCAAGAGTGTTCTGCACAGTCTGCTTCTGCAGATCCCTGTTGTCTTTGCTAGGTCATTGCCTTACCAGTTCTGCTGCCGTGTTATTAATTGCGTAACGAAGGTGAGTTCTTCACAAGACTGTTGAACTTGGAGTTGCAAAACCACGAGGCCTTACGCTGCATCTTTTTGTCCCTTCTCTTGTCCTAAGGTGGCTGGAGAAAGATACGTCTACAAGTTTGTTTGCGACCCTGAAGCGCTTTTCTCCATGGCTTTTCCAGACAACCAGCGCCCCTTACTGAAGACTGACATGGAGCGTCACATCAATGAGGAGGACACTGTACCTCTGTCCCACTTTGATGAGAGCATGGTCTACATGCAGGACGGTGGCTGCTGCAACACCCACCCCTATAACGAAGGCTATGTCTATTAACAACAGTGACAGTGAAGGGGATGTTTCCCCCCTCCCTTAGGCTTCTCCTCTTTCACAAGACCCAGAGGAAAGCTGACTCGACTTCAGTTTGTTTTTTAAATAGTACACTAAAAGGGGCTTTTCCTGTTGCATTACTCCTATGGTCTGCCATGGACAGCGCACTTTATTTGAAAGGGGAGGGTTGGAACCTAAACGTTATTCTGTGTAACAGGAGGAAAAGGGTGGGTTTGCTTTTTACTTAAGTTTGGGAAGGGAACATACAGGTTTTAAGTACAAAAAAGCTATATCATGTCTGTTTTGTTTCATATCAGCATAAGATATTGTACATTTTCTCTGGGTATCCATAGTACAGTTAATTCTCATTGTGCAAAATAACCACTTGATGATGATATCAGCACAGCATGCCTAGGGCATTTGTTTCTTGCCATTCTTACTTGTCTTTCTGCAGTTAAAAAAGAGAAGCAAAGCATATACCATAGCATTTAATTTAGAAGTTTTTTGTTTGTTTGTTTGGGTTTTTTTGGTATGGCCTCAAAAAAAAAAAGGAAATACAGTGACCAAGCAAAATCCCTGACTTCAGACTGCAAGCCACATGCCGTATCTGGTGCCACGTTGCTATACATATATGGCCCATGCTATGGCTTAGACCTGTCAAGATCCATTTGAGGGTAGTAATTACGTGTGGTAGGCTTTCTGATGATCATGTCAGCATTAAATACAGGATCATGATCGGGACGGAGAAAACATTTTGTATCCTTCCATTTCCTTTGGTACATAAATAAGTTATTTAATCAATAGGAATTAACTGTACTAAGTCACATATCTAATTATGCTGTTTAGACACAGCAAGCACTCCTTGAGAAAAATATCCAATACACTAAATAGGTACTTTAGTAATTTTTAGACACGGTACCCATTAATATGCATTTAAACCTTTTACTGCTGTGTTATGTTGATAACATATATAAATACTAGATAATGCTAATGCTTCTGCTGCTGTCTTTTTCTGTAATATTCTCTTTGATGCTGAATTTACTATGACCATTTATAAGCAATGCTGTAACTACAGGTAGCATTTCAGGACAAAATAGATGACTTGAACCATTTATTGCTTAGAAAATAGCTTACGCCATAGCTGTGCTATAAGCAGCTTTTATGCGCATCCACAAATGACTAGTAAGCTTCAGCTTGCTAAGGAAAGCTCTGCAGAACCTTTTGTAATTTTTGGTGGAACAGAGACTTAGATGAACTGTCAAAGAATACCATGAAGTCGCTGTATGACGTTGTAGTGCTGGCACTGATGTTACCAATCAACTTGTTTTGGACACTAAATGTAAATGTGATCAGATATGCTCGGAAGACAATTTAAATTTTGAGGGTTTTGGGGGGTTTTTTTGTTATTTTTTCAAATTGTTTTATTTTTTGAGAGGGGTAATCTTGAACACAAGCCACACACACTATTCTGTATGTAAAATGAAGGAGGAAAAAAAAAAAAGCAAGCCCTGACAAAACCCCAAAAGTTTTAAATATTTAGGAGCACCTTCTCTGAAAATAATATTTCACGTGTGGTAGGCTTTCTGATGATCATGTCAGCATTAAATACAGGATCATGATCGGGACGGAGAAAACATTTTGTATCCTTCCATTTCCTTTGGTACATAAATAAGTTATTTAATCAATAGGAATTAACTGTACTAAGTCACATATCTAATTATGCTGTTTAGACACAGCAAGCACTCCTTGAGAAAAATATCCAATACACTAAATAGGTACTTTAGTAATTTTTAGACACGGTACCCATTAATATGCATTTAAACCTTTTACTGCTGTGTTATGTTGATAACATATATAAATACTAGATAATGCTAATGCTTCTGCTGCTGTCTTTTTCTGTAATATTCTCTTTGATGCTGAATTTACTATGACCATTTATAAGCAATGCTGTAACTACAGGTAGCATTTCAGGACAAAATAGATGACTTGAACCATTTATTGCTTAGAAAATAGCTTACGCCATAGCTGTGCTATAAGCAGCTTTTATGCGCATCCACAAATGACTAGTAAGCTTCAGCTTGCTAAGGAAAGCTCTGCAGAACCTTTTGTAATTTTTGGTGGAACAGAGACTTAGATGAACTGTCAAAGAATACCATGAAGTCGCTGTATGACGTTGTAGTGCTGGCACTGATGTTACCAATCAACTTGTTTTGGACACTAAATGTAAATGTGATCAGATATGCTCGGAAGACAATTTAAATTTTGAGGGTTTTGGGGGGTTTTTTTGTTATTTTTTCAAATTGTTTTATTTTTTGAGAGGGGTAATCTTGAACACAAGCCACACACACTATTCTGTATGTAAAATGAAGGAGGAAAAAAAAAAAAGCAAGCCCTGACAAAACCCCAAAAGTTTTAAATATTTAGGAGCACCTTCTCTGAAATATAATATTTCCTAGTTTGAAGGGAGGGAGAGGGGGTAAGATCTGGATTTCATTTTTTGCCCAGTGAAATTTAAATATGTGTTAATATGGAGTACCTCATTTTCCTATATTCCCGAGAAGTGGGAGGAAAATGAATGCATAACCATAAAACAACAAGAATAGTTTTCATCATAATGGATGGATTTCAAAGACAATCCTAGGTGGTGGGTTAATTTTCCATCCTCTGTCAGTTAAGACACTAGTTAAGCTATGAATATTTTAATATGCAGTTAATCAAAAGTAAAGAAGTAATGGTCACTAGAAACCACAGGTGCATAAAAAACATTTGGGCAGGTATTTAATTTACTCAGAACCATAAGACAACATATTTTATGGGAGTGTATATATGCCTTAATATGTCACCTAATTCCATCATCCGTAAGTCTCAATGGCACTTAAATTTTCGGTGATCAACCCAGAATCAGAAGTCTAAAATTGCAGAATTAGCAAAAAGGAAAGGGAAAAGGTTGAGTAAGATTGTTTAAAAAAATGTGGTTTCCATTGAAATAAGGTTCAAATGAAACATGCTTTGATGAAAAGTCCTTGGATTGGTTTTGGTTCTTTAATGTCAGCACGGAGCGCCTCTTGCCTGTGGCAGGATGTGGGTATTTGGGAAAGGGGTTGGACAAAAAAGGAAAAAAAGGAAAAAAAAAAAGGAAAAAAAATGCATCAAATGTGTAATATTTAAGAAGAAATATATATATATCTGTATATGGTAGTGACTCACTGAACAAAACAAGCAATCAGACCAACATTACATGATCTCTCAGCAGAAGATATAAAAGTCTTTCACTGAACTGATTAACCCTTTTTAAAATGTACCTAAGAGGTTTATTTAAAGTCTGTTTTTATTCCACTTTTTTGTTTGTTTGGGGGGGGTTTTTTGTTTGTTTGGGGTTTTCAGGTAGAATAATAAATCTGGCAGCTGATTTCTGCAAGATTGTTGTGTATTGGATTCCTAACCATTTGGACTGGAGAGGCCCCTGCAGTAAGGTCCTTTTGGAAGAGGAGATGATGGCCTGTTCCCAGTGCCTAGAATGGCTTCCTGCAAAAAAAAAAAAAAAAAAAAAGGGAGGAGTATGTACAATTCATGTGTATGTATATATGAGTTATAGCCAGGCATTAGATTGCCAAAGCATCATATTTGACTGACAAAAGGGAGGAGGATGGTCTATGTAAATTTAGAGAAAGATTGATTCCGACTAAGAACACTTACACATTTTCACAGGGCATTTTAATACCCTACTGAATTTGAATGTGGGGTGTTTGGGGCTGGGGTGGGGGTGCTGGGTTTTCGTTTGGTTGGTTGGGGTTTTTTTGGTTTTGTTTTCAAGCTGTGCCACAAGTGGAGGGAAAACACAGGCTTCACCTCTGTTTTTAGGAGGAGCTGTAATGGAGTTAGCTTGTGCGTGTTTGCTTGTGCGTCTTTTTGCTGCCCAGAGCAGTGGGCAGCCCAGGGTAGTGCTACTGTGAAGCAAATCCAGGAGGCCCAAGATTGGCAAGACCCAGGCACTGTGGTACGGCTGTAGGTGCTCGGGTTTCCTCTGCCGTGACAGTTCAGTTGCACCGGTAGCTGAACGGAGGTGAAATTAGATAAGGACTTGGCAGATCCCCTCAGAATCCATTTGTGAGAGTTAAGGTTACAGGTTTAGGGCAATGCTCAAATTTTGCTTTAGGGATATGACTTTCCATGACAGACAGCCTAAGCCTTTTCTCTCCAAGGTCACACCAGTCTAACTTTCCCACACACCAACTACAGTGCAAATCTTAATATCACGTTCTCTGGAAGCATGAATTTCATATGCTTGTCAGACCAAATCTGCCTGCTTTACTTACAGTTGGCTGCTGTGGTAACCTAGGGGAAATTGGAATACAGGAACATTAAGGATCGTTTTCTCTAGTAATTCCCTGCAAAGAGCCTTTTGCTCAGAATCTTTTCGTATTTGGGATTCTCTGGTACCTGGGACTATTCCCCAGGGATTAGTGCTTAGAGTTTTATTGCCCTTGACATCTGACTGGTTTGGGCTGCAAGTCCATCTTCACAGGACAATATCAACTAGTAAATATTTTTGCCTTGTTTGTGGTTTTTTGTTTGTTTTTTAATAGCAGGAAATAGATCAATGTGTGCAAAAGGTATTATGAAGAAATCTTGGAATTGTTAATGGCTATACTTTCTGCTCTGAAGAGCATTAGCTTCAGTTCACGTACTACAGGTAATAGCACCCATGAACAGCCCTATTCAGTGCTCACATTAATATCACTGAGGACTTTTCCAAATAATCTCCTCCAAAGATGTAATTAATATGGTATCTTACACGCGAAGAATCATCACTGAAATACCCCACTTGCGTCTAGCTGTAAGAGCCTAGGAGATTAATTTCTCAGTTCTCTTCACTGGTTGCTTGGCGTTTTTTTGTTGTGTGTGGTTTTTTGGTTTTGTTTTTTGGTTGGGTTTTTTTTTATCAGAGGCTACTCTGCTTGGAAATGAGGTAGCAGCTGGGAGCAGGTGCCTGTGCCTCAGAAACTCCAGTTCAAAGTCCCCTGCGTTTTGCTAAGATACCAGGCTGAGAACTGAAGCATCTGCAATACATAACTGAGCCCTGCCCTCCCTGTTCTCTTACAGAAGAGGGAACTACAGTCCATCATCTTCTGTTGCTTCTGCTTCAGGAGTGATAATCCCTGGCAGAGCAGGGGGATGGAAAGCTAGGGGCAGTAGCATTTTAAAACTACAAGGTTACGCAGAGGATGTCTGTCAGATCCCTAAGGATCACAAATGCATCAGCAAAGCACTGTACCTTACCACCCAGCTTTCCTGACTGCGTAGGTAGGTAAAGTTAACTTCATCTTTTACTTCAGGAGGTTGAAATATTGGTTTCCCCCTTGAACACCAATTTAATTTCTGTGGGAAGGAAATATCTGTGCCATCTTCTTATGTAATAGTCTGAAAATGCATTTGAAGAGTCTCGCTGACATTTTCCCAAAGAACTATTTTTGTGTGAAAATGACACAACAAACAT